TCGGGCCCGGGAGCGGCCCCCGGGCCCGCCGTGCCACACTCACGTTCCACTCGTAGGCTGTCGCGGCAATGCCCGAGGCGGCTCCCGACCCAGCCAGGCCGATGAAGTGGCCGCTTCCGACGTTGCTGGCAAACAGGGATGCGCCCACCTGGAGAAAGACAGGAATTCTGATCTGGGCTTGGCACGAGGTGTTGTTCCCAGCCTGGTGGTGGGCACAGGGGTAAGCAGAGAAGCTCGGTGCTCCAGCGCACACACCCCAGTGGATCCCCACCGTGGAGGTTACACCGTGATGCCATTCCCCCTCTCGTGACTACATGAAATCCTTGTCACCCTCTGCCACCTTCTTGTGCCTACTTGCAGTGGCTCTGGCACCTCTCTGCAGCTTCTTTCATCGTTCACTGCCTATCGCTCGTTTGTGGACACGTTTAGGACCATCGTGCTTCCAAAGCAGCGCCTGGTCTCTTACGGGGGAGCAGGGCAGAAGGTGGAGGCTACAAGCAGAAGTGTCAGGTCATCGGGTTCGTAGTGCATGCTGACTCCCAGGGCAGCCCAAACGAAACCCCCCACCTCGCAGACCGGCTCCACACAGGGCTGCGTCCGCGACGGGGACCACCCAGTGAACTCGGGAAATCTCCAGATCAAAGCGTGCAGAGCCAGAGCGGCTTTGCCAGCTGGGGGCTGGCTCTCGGGGGGGCTCAGGGCTGTGCCAGGTGCCCTGCAGCAGCTCCGCTTCCCCAGCCTCAGATATGGAAAAAAACCCAGTATTGTAACTGGGTCTTTGCAAAACATGGAAGCAATTTTTTTTCTTCTGTTTGGAGAAAGAAGTCCCGCTTGGGCAGAAGTGCTTTCAGTCTTGCTGTGTTATAGGGGCACAAGCAGAGTAAGGATACAGATACTTACAGGCCACCAAACCATCTGTCCTCCAGCTAGGAAGTAGCCTTTGACAGTGCTGCGCTGCGTCTTCCACATGGACTGGGAAAGCAGAAAAGCAGAACACAGTTTCAGCAGCCATTGCAGTTGCTCCTCAGAGCATCACCAAGGGGTTTCCCCAGCAGGAGACTCTGTGCTGTCATCAGATGGAAGCGAGGGGCTGCTGGAAGGACCTGCCATTGCTGCTGGGAGACCCTGGGGGACGAGAGAGCAACGGACGGGCGGGCCGGCCGGTGTTGTAAGCTGCCTGCAAAGTTTGCTATCATCTCAGCACACTGGTTAAATATTTCCTGTGATAAGCAAACTAAATCTCTCCAGATCCACGAGGAAGACCAGCAATTTTGGACAAGAACTGCAGATGTCCCTCGTTATTAGGCGCAGCCAGGAGAAATGCTGGGCATTGCAGGTGTTACTCATTGACTCCTGTTCTTCAGGGATTTCAGATAGGTTCATGCAATGCCATGAGAGTTATGCGCCACGTTTGAAGGGAGCAACTATTCCTCTCTGCCTCAGGACAGACAAATTGTGCTTTTGCTATTGCGAAAGCCGTGCCAAGAGGACATCCTTCTGCCTTAATTATACATGAACAGTATTTTTAATTTACGGAATCTGCTGTCGAGACCACTGCGGACAAGCACAGGTGATTTATAGGGCAGCAATTCCTTCCTGGATGAACAAAACATTATTATTAGCAATACTTTGTACTCAGATGACCTCTGCCTTACTAGGGCTCTCAAAACCTTGGCAACCAGGAGAGCTGAACCTCCTCTGCAGCAGTGAGGACGCTTCCCAAGGCTGAGGTGAGGAAAAGGACCTGTAAACTCTCTCCTGCTTGTTCAATTGAACCCAGTGAAGTGTGGCCAGGTTCAAGGCAAAGTAAAATAACCTGAGACCCAGACAGCCACATTTTTAAGTATAACAGGGCACACACGGAAGCTTCTAACGGTGTCTGCTTACCCACAGCCCAACTGCGAGGACAAACACGAAGTACAGCACGAGAACAGCAATGTCTATGGAGTTCAGCGTCTTCTGGGGAAACACATCCCACGGGGCTGTCGCAGAGGACGGGGTGCTGCTGGTGGTCTCCATGGCTCCCTTCGCAGGCCGAGTGCTGCCTTGTCTTGGTGCGTATATCTGTTAAAAAATGGGTGACGTGGTTAGGAGAGGACGCGGCAGCACCGTGAAGGTGTTGACTGTTTCTTGAGTCATTCAGGGGTTATCGGCTCTGTGGCTCTGGCTGCGGCGCTGCTCGTGCCGGAGCCGTGCCGAGGGCTCTTGGCTCTGGCATTTGCCTTCACCCGTGACTCCTTGCTGTGATGTGGAGATGCTGGCAGCAGGCAGGACAGCGTGGGCTGGGTGGGTTTCCTTTGCAGGGGAGAATTGTCTAACTGGGGGAGAAGTGGGTGCGTTAGAGGAGGTGTAAAGGGCTGAAACAGCCGGAGGAAAGGACCAGGAGAGATGGACATAGCCTCTGGCTCACGGGTGTGGGCAGCAAGCACCACTGGTAGACGATGCAGCAGTGCGGGGCCGGCACCGAGCGGCAGAGGAGCCAGAGCCGGGGCTCCCTCCTGCACAGCAGCCACAGAGACGTTTCCTGCAGGCGGGACTCGTGTGCTTCCCACAGGAATAAAAACTCGTTTTCTTGTCCAGAAATGCCTGACGAGGAGACGTGGCCCCACCGAGGGACCCCTGCAAGGGCTCTCTCGACCCCTCTGGAGCACCCCACGGTGCCAGGCTGCTGCCCTGTGGCAGAAGGGACAGGATAAAGTCCACGCAAGGAGGCCGGTCAGGTATCTGAATTAATGCAGTTCCTCCTCGTTTCCTCCTCCTGCCATCAGCCAGCCTTGGCCCCGCTCTGAGGGCAGCACAGGAGGCGAGCGGGTGTCCCTGGCTCGGTGTTGCCCATGTCAGTCACCAGGGACCCCCGAGCCCAGCACCTCATCACCGCGCTCCAGCCACGGAGCAGGGTCGGGAGCGTTTCTCTTACCCTGCTGAGCCGAGGAGGAGGTTCCTCCGCAGAGGAGCAGAGCCGGCACTCCCTGGCCCTGGCGTGGCCTCGCAGCCGGCTCACCTCTGCGTCCAGCCCCGGTATCGCCGGGATGGCTGGGCTGGTGTCTGCTGGTCCTTGTCCTCCTCCTGCCTATGTCTCTGGCCAGGTCCTTTGGCCTCTCTTGCCCTTGTAAGGCAACACTTATAAGCTCCCTCTTGCCAAAAGGCTGAAGAAGGTGGGGCGAAGGGTGGCCTGCACCAGCCCCGGGGCTCCCGGTGTGGACAGTCAGATGACAAGCAGTCGAACAAGTTCTTCCTCTGGACACCTGGCGGGCTCGGCTGCCCCGGCGTGCGAGAGAGCCGGGGATGGAGGAGACGCGGGGCTTCTGCTGCTGGGCAGTGCTCAGGAGGGCACTGCCCTGAGTCCCCAGTACCCCCAGTCCTGCAGCGCGGGCTCTGCTGGAGCAGGGCTGCGGGGCTCACGCGGTCACGAAAAGGTCGGGTGACACACGAGGAGTTTTCCAGCGGCAGATACCGCTCCATCACCTGCTTTCCACAGCTGGGGGGTTGTATCCCGAGACGGCCGCAGCCTCCAGCGCGAGAGCCAGAGACGGTACAGAGCCATGTTCTGGTTGGGTGGCAGCGGTGGCAGCGCCAGGTGGGACCAGGGGCTTGCAGCACCTTGGCAGAGCCCTTGCAGTGCCTGATGGAGCTCCTGGATCCCACTGAATTCCTCTGCAGCTTCAGCCTTGCCAGCATGCAGGACACTGATGATCAGAAGACCAGTGCTAGCTTACCTCCTTCAGAGGCAACAGATCTTGGCTGTGGCTGAGTTTTTACTGACGTGTTTAATCTCTAACTAGGAAAAGGAAAACAGGGTTTGGTATGCCGGCCTTGGGAAGTTGCTAACCCTGCTCTAACACCTCCTACTTTCTCTTTCACAGCGCTGGTACTGTTTGAGAGGCTTCCCACCTCAGGGCCCGCAGGCAGTGCGGCCAGCGCCGTGAGCTGCGTAGGCTCAGCCTCCCGTGGGGTTCAGCCACACGTGCGGGAGAGCATCGGGTCTTTCCTCCGAAACCCGTGCGGATTTGGGGCAGAGCTCTGCAGGCATTTGCCATGCCCGTTGGTAAAGACGA